ACTTTAAAGAATCATTTTTTTCATTTGAAGATTATACTTCCTTTATCCAATAATATAAGTTCAACTTAAATGAATATTTCTTGAATTATACACAATGAAAGAGGATTTAAACATTTTTAGTCAAAAATTTTTTGAATGAAAATCTCTCTATGATAATTAAACTCAAAAATAAAAATAACTAATATAAAAGTGGATTTTATTAAGAAAGCTTGTAACTAAAGAATGAAAGATAAATATATAATCAATATATTATAGGGAATAATATCAAAAAATTATAATTGAATTTATAAAATATTCTATTTTATTATTTATTTCATTTTTCAATAGTCAAATATTACATATCATCATTTTTGTTTATTCTGGATTTTTCTTTTAAATACCAAAGCATTAATTAAATTAAATCATAATCAACTTAAAGTATTTTTTTATTTGTTAGTAGACATCAATTGTTAGTGTTAAAATAAGAATCAAAGTGAAACCTGCTACATTAATCCAGCCTAATAATTCAGTTTATTCTTTGTCTTCATTAGATTTGATAATTTCATATATAGAGAAGACTATAGTATTTAACATAATCAGAATTTCTGTTATGAATAATTTAGTATTTTCATATTTATTCTCAAAAGGTTTATAAATTTTAATATAACAACTAAATACTCCTGATATCATAGCTGTAATTAGACTCTAAGCAGCTACAAGGGCTTAAAATGCAACTATATTAACAATGAAAAGGGTTTTTTTCAATAATAAAATAGTAAAATATTATTTAGTTCCTTAGTTTATTTTATTTTCTATTCCTTCTATTAAAACTGATACAGTTTTATTTACTCTATCATTTTTACTTAGATATGAAAAAACAGAAGATATAAGTAAAAAATTACATATTAATGTAATTATTGCCAATAAAGAGATAATTGTATTAAAAGTTGTATCTAAATTTAAGTTGACAATTTGTAATATAGATGTAAAAGTCAATTCATAAAAGTTAGATGTATAAATTCTGATTAATCCAGAGTAAATAAAATATTGATATTATTTTCTTGCCAGTTTTTAGAGTTAAAAAATAAATTTGATTACCTTATAGAAAAATTCTGGATAATTATTGTAAAATATAGCTGGCCAATTCTAATATTTAATAATTATAAGAAATTTATAAAATAAATACGAGATTACAAAATAAACAAATCCCAATATCACTACAGAGAATAGTGTTAATAGGTTTTATAAAAAATAACAATTTATTTAATAATATTCGAATTTCCATTTGGCTGGTATAAGTGGAATTTAATAATCAAATAGATTTTGCAAAAATAAATCTGTTTACAATATATCAATTATGGGAGTAAATGATCCAATAGTAAATATTTCAAAATAAATTTATAAGTTTTCTGGAAATTGAAGATTGTGATATTTCATAAATGATAATTATTGTAGCATATCAAGCAGATTCCATAAAATTTCTAAATTGCCAAATAAAAAAGCAACACAACTTACAATCAAAATGATATACATAACAATTCTACCTAAAAGAGCAGTTTTTTATAAAAGTGATTT